GTGTGTCTGTGTGTGTGTGTGTCTGTGTCTGTGTGTGTGTGTGTCTGTGTGTGTCTGTGTGTGTCTGTCTGTCTGTGTGTGTCTGTGTGTGTGTGTGTCTGTGTCTGTGTGTGTGTGTGTCTGTGTGTGTCTGTGTGTGTCTGTCTGTCTGTGTGTGTCTGTGTGTGTGTGTGTCTGTGTCTGTGTGTGTGTGTGTCTGTGTGTGTGTGTGTGTGCGTGTGTGCGTGCGTGCGTGTCTGTCTGTGTCTGTGTGTCTGTGTCTGTGTCTGTGTCTGTCTGTGTGTGCGTGTGCGTGTGAGAGTGTAAGTGTGTCTGTGTCTGTGTCTGTGTCTGTGTGTTTCATCAAACTGCAGATCTGTCCCTGTCCGCTTGTATCTGTTTCAGTTCTGATAGATCACACATCATAGAGCTCTTAGTACATCAGAAAAGAGTAAAGTATGGTCTGATGGTATAGCAAACAAAAAAAAAGACAGATACCTTTAAACCCTGAAGCAAAGCAGAGCTTGACCATACATGATACAACTTATTACCAAATTAATAAATCAATAAATGCATGGAAATCACTTGCCTGGTACAACAATTAATTCCGCTTTATTATTTCATCTTCTGGCAAATCTGATATAATTCTGAAAACTGAATTAAATATACCGCTGTGGCTGTGGAGATCTTGTTTATTGCTACTATGCAGCTGTTTCGAAGATTTGATGCCACCAACCTGACAAACTATTTCAGATCCAGTGGTTATTTCACACTCAAAAGTGTTTTAAATTTGTTTGAAATAGAGTTCACATGGTCAAATGCTTTAGATCTTGCAGCAGGGTTATTAATAGTCAGCTAAAACTAAAACCATAAAATCATTTTCATTACTTAATAAAATAAACTTTATCTAAAATAAAATAAAATAGTATGAAATATTAAAAACGTACACTTGTTTAATTTCAGCTAGTTGGCAAGGCAACATTTCTCATTCTCATTTAGTTTAACTTGATGTACTAAAATAAATGAAATTAAAACTGAAATAAAAATCTATAAAAACTACAGACATATAAAAAACTAATAAAAATGACAAAAACAAACAACAAATTACTAAAACTTGAACTAAAATTAAAAAAAATAGAAAATATAAAAATAAAAACCAATTCAAAATATTAATATAAGCTATAGTAGTATCGCAATAATACTGAAATAACACAGTCTTGTTGTAAATGTTTTAATACATATGGTATAATTTAAAAAAAATATATCATTTTTAATACATTTTAAATTAAAAATTGTATATATTTATTTATTTATTAAGAAATTAATTATTATAAAAAAAATGTAAACATGGTATATTCCTTATGTCATGAAAAATCAACTTTCCCTTGATCTTTTGATCTTTTTGGGGGTTCAGTTGTATTATGAAAACGTAACTTTCAGAACTCAAATCTTCCTCCCCATAACCAGTTAATCAGAGTGATTTAGAGAGAAAAATCAGCTCCAGCACCTCAGGGAAAAACATCAAATAATATGACCCATATATCAAATATGACCCATTTAATGTGTGTTTGTGTAGCGTTGCTGTCCTCGTGGTGTGAGGATCTGGGTCGACTTCTGCTGCTGCGTCATCAGAAAAGCAGACAACCCGATCCATCTGTGGGCAAGAACCCGATGCAGGCCAACATCAACAACATAAAACCGGCTCTGTCACACGAGTCAGTTTCACACACACACACACACACACACACACACACATATTGACACACTGCTGCACATGTTAACTGTTAACATCCATTTGTAATCTCCATAGTGATGCATCATTTCAATATGACTCCGTCTCCTGGCAACAAAACACCAATCAGCCGCCGGGTTCTGTTTCCGTGGTGACCACTGTATGGGGTGTGACCAATACATCACAGAGTCAGGTCAGAGTGTATTTAACACCGTTCAGAGCACATGCTGCTGTTTGAGTGCATGTCATAACGTGTGTGTGTGTTTAGGTGTTGGGGAGCCCCATGGCAAACCCAAACAGCCATATGAACCCTGTGACGGGAGGTAATGGAGGTATGAACCCGGGACAGTTTACCGGACACCAGCAGTTTTCCTCCAAGGCCAATCCAAACCAGGCCTACATGCAGCCGGGGATGTACGGGAAATCCAGTTACCCTGGAGGAGGAGGATTCGGGAGCAGGTCAGTTTGTTTCTTCATCAGATTTGGAGAAATGTAGCATTGCATCACTCATTCTGACGGCACCCATTCACTGCAGAGCATCCGATGCTGAGACAATGATTTGCGGTCCTTGCAGATCATGTAACAATCATAATAAACACGCCCTTAAGTTTTGTCTGTAGAACAATTTTAAGAAACATTTTTGGGTATGCAAAATATTCTTACCTTTACTCTTAAGTTAAAAATGAGAAGAAAATTGCAATATTTTATTTTTCAGAACGTTTCGTGAATCCAAACTCTTTCTCTCTTGTGCAGTTATGGGGGCGGTCCTAACCACGCCAGTGGGATGGGCCTGCCTTCACAGACACGCCCCCCTTCTGACTTCAGCCAACCAGCTGCTGCCGCCGCTGCTGTGGCTGCTGCCGCTGCTACGGCGACCGCTACAGCCACGGCGACGGTTGCCGCGCTACAGGAGACGCAACACAAGGACATGAACCAATGCGGCCCGGTGAGGGAGCATCTGTCATTGTGGCACTAATTAGATAATAATTTCTAATTGAAACAATGAGTTTGAACAAAGCATTTTGTTTGTTTGCGTTCTAGATGTGTTCCTCCTTTCAAATGGGACCAAACCAGGCTTACAGCACTCCGTTTGTGAATCAGCCCGGCCCCCGGGGGCCCCCTGCTCACCCTGGGGCCATGAACGTGGGGCAGCCTCGGGGGCAGATGGGGCCGTACGGGGGTCAGAGAACGCCCCAGCAGGGCTACGGGCCACGGCTAGTGCAGGGGGTGAAGAGACCGTATCCTGGAGAGGTGAGAAATCAGCATCTCAAATACAGTATTGGATGGAATGCATTACTAGGTTACCTTGAAAAAGGGATTACTCTGAATTTTTGTGTAATATAATTACAGTTACTTCTGATGTAACTGCATTAAATGCTGTATAGACTAAAGATCAATTCGATATAAAACAATATTACATTAACATACACAAACATTAAAATGTAACATCTAATGGTAAAATGTATTTAGAAAGTAATTAGTAATATAAGTAATGCCATACTTTTTAGATAAAGTAATTAGTACAGTAATCTAATTACACCATTGAAGATGTAATTTGTAGTTAGTAATTAATTGCTTTTTTAGAGTAACTTACCCAACACTGGTCAAATGTACAGTTAATTTAACTTTTCTCTACACTTTGCAATTTTTTAAATACGCAGAGAATGTTTGTAAACTGATTTTTCTCATATAAACTTTGAAAATATGCAAAATATAGGCATACTTTTTAAATATGCATACATTTGCATATTAGTGTAGACCTCACAAAAATGTTAAAACCTTTATTTATTTATGCTTGTGAAGCACTTTGAGTTGTATTATATGTATGAAAAGTGCTATATAAATATAATTTTTTAAATTTTTTATTCATGAATTTGATCTTTTTGCCGAATTATTTAAGAACTTAAATTATTTAAAAATATTTGTATTTATAAGTGTATTTTAACTTATAAACTAGTTAAAAGTCCATCCACAGTATGTATTAGAATTTTTGTTAAAAATTGACTTTTTTTCCCAGTTTTTTATGTTGTATCCTGTTTTTTGACATTAAATAACCTTTGATGCTGATTAAAAAATAAAAACAAACAAGATAAAATGGCCCATTAAATGGCAAAATTTTTTCCCAAAAACCTTTCACCCCAGCAATATCGCAAAATTAGGCCTCTGTACCAATTATAGAACATGATTTAAATGACGTAAGGTTATATAAAATCATAAAAATCTAATTATTTTGGGTGTTTATAATTTTATCTTAGTTGAAGATGCAAAATACCGATCATCATTCATGCCTTTTGTCTCTATTCTTAATAAAAATACAGTTCCAGTTAATAAGCATATGTGTCCCTGGAGCACAAAACCAGTCTTAAGTGTCAATTTTTTTAAATTGAGATTTCTACATCATCTGAAAGCTGAATAAATAAGCTTTCCATTGATGTATGGTTCTCGATCAAAATATTGAGAAAATCACCTTTAAAGTTGTCCAAATGAAGTTCTTAGCAATGCATATTACTAATCAAAAATTAAGTTTTGATATATTTACGGTAGGAAATTTACAAAATATCTTCATGGAACATGATCTTTACTTAATATCCTAATGATTTTTGGCATAAAAGAATAATCAATACTTTTGACCCATTCAATGTATTGTTGGCTATTGCTACAAATATACCCCAGTGACTTAACACTGCTTTTGTGCTCCAGGGTCACATTTGATAGTAAAGGTAGTTTCATGTGAGCTGTGAGCGGCTGTATCTGTGTCTGTTTGTGGTGTTTTTATCTTTAGTGGTGATGCACCTGACCCCCATAAACCAGAATCTCTGTTTTGCTGTTCTTGTATCTGTTTGAGATTTGACTGAAGGTGTTTGTTTTTCTCCAGGGGAGCTACGGGCCGCAGTACGGACCAAACGGTCTGTTTGGCTCTCAGCAGGGTCAGTATCCTCACCTCTCCTCAGCTCAGAGACAGTACCAGGCCTGCGGCATGGGACAGTTCTGCAAGGTCCTCCACTAACATCAGACACCTTCTTTTAATAACACAATATTTGATTACTAATTGTTTTATTAGAGGTGTGACATCATCACCATTATGAAAAATAGATTTTTAGAGTGATTGATACATTAAGAACTTACTGTAATACTGCACTTTAATTACTTATAATTCCTTAAAATAATTTTATTCTGATAATATAATTAATAATTTATTAAACATTATTATAATGTATCTTATTATGTTATATTTTATAATACAAATATATAAACATTGTATTTATATAAAATTAATTATAATGTATTATAATAAATTCTGTAAAGAATTATGATTAAATGATTGATACAATAAAAAGTTTTAATTTAGTATAATTTTACATTTATTATAGTATTATAAACATTTATTTTATTACTATTTATTAATAGTAATAAAATAATTTATTATTATGAATTTTATGTTAGTCTTTATAAGACCAATATTTATATATATATAAAATTAATAATAATTTATTATATTAAATTTCAATAAAATTATGAGAAAATGATTGCTACAATAAAAAATGGACTACACACTACTATTTTAAAGTATTATATATTTGTATAGTTTCATAATAATAATAATTATAAAAACAATAATAATTTATTCTAATATATTTTATATTTTCATAATAAAATTGACAATTTTATTGAAATATATTTTAATATTATATAGCCAAATTCTTAAGTAGTCTCATGTTTCTACATTTCAAAAACAACTGGCAAGCTCATTGAAAGTGTCTTTCTCTCTGTCTTTGCTAAAGGAACCGAGCAGTAACTTCAGCACGGGAAACTTTCATTACAGTGCGGTATGTTAGTTTGATGTCCAGTCAGCAGTTGAAATATTCATGGTTTCAGACGTTTACATTTTCATCTGATGTGATTGTAGCCTCCGCGGCCGATGGGCAGTTACCCTCACTCTCCGTTGCCGGGTGACCCCACGCCCCCCGTGACCCCAGGAAGTAATATGCCACCGTATCTGTCACCAAACCAGGACATGAAGCCCCCGTTTCCTCCTGATATCAAGCCCAACATTAATGCACCTGCTCCAGGTATGAGCCTCTTCCGGCCGTCACTGTACATCATCTTGGCCGGAATAAATTATTTTCCTGAATACTTTTGTCTTGTTTTCCAGAACAAACACCTAAACATTCTTAAATCAAGATGCATTTACTTGAGAAACAAAATGAATTAAGATATTAACCCCACTGACAGATATTTTTTCTTGTTGTAAGCAAAAATTGATACTTTTTCAGAAAACAATACCTCTTTTACCTTCTCAAGTAAGTTTTTAGTTATTTCAGAAGAGCATTTAACATCAGTCTGGACAATTAAAAAAAACATATGCAACGTTAATATTTAATGACATCACTTTTAAGAATATCGAATCATTAAATAGGCTTAATCTCCCTCTTGTTTCCTAGGTAACCCTAATGAGGAGCTCCGGCTGATGTTCCCGGTTCGGGACGGTGTGGTTCTGGAGCCATTCAGACTGGAACACAACCTGGCCGTCAGTAATCACATCTTCCACCTGCAGCCCACCGTCCACCAGATGCTCATGTGGAGGTCAGACACTGTCACATACACACACACACACACATGTTGGTTTTTATGGTTTATGAGGACTCTTCATAGGCGTAATGGTTTTTATACTGTTCAAACCGTATTTTCTATTGCCCTACACCTACCCTACCCCTAAACCTACCCCTCACAGGAAACTTTGTGCATTTTTAGATTTTCAAAAAACTTCATTCTGAATGATTTATAAGCCTTTTAAATTACGGGGACACTCACTCACACACACACACTCATACACACACAGACACAGACACTCATACACACACTCATACACACACAGAGACGAATGTGTGTGAAGGTGCTGCTAATTTCACATTTTTTAAAATTAAATTATATTACTGTTACAAATGTCAAGTCTTCACCATGATGAAAAATCTATTTTTACATTTTAATAAAATTATGATAAAGTGATTGATATGATGCAGAAGTAACTAATACTGGATTCCACACCACTGTTTTAATTTATTATAACTTTTACAATTATTATAATAAAATAAAAAATTATTATTATTTCTAATGAAATTATGATAAAATGATCGATACAATATAAAGTAACCTTCAAACTGGACTGTACACCCCTGTTTTAATTTATTATATAAATAATAATATTTTTAATAATGCTTTATTTTATTATTATAATAACATTTTAAATAATTTATTATAATAAAATGGTAAATAATTGATACAATAAAATAAAATAATTGATACAATAAAAAAGTAACGTTAATACTGAACCGTACACCACTTGTAACAGAACGACTCAGAGAGATGATGGTCAGTGTAAACCGTTTATTAACAGCAGGGAGTGAATGAGCAAACAGATGAGCAAAGCAGCGATGGGTTGTAGAGATCGAAAGAGAGATAGTAATAATACTGTCCTGAACCTTGCAGGTTGGGAGATCGGGGACGCTGAGAAGAGGAGAGGAATCCAGGAAGGTAGGAGACGAAAAGTCCGGGAGTCGATGACTAGCGCAAGGGAGAATAGGAATGAGTCCGTTGCTCAATGTGAGATCAGACGCTGAGCGGAGGTGAGGTGTGCGTTTATATGGAGAGGTGATTAGTGATGATGAGCAGGTGTGTCCAGTTAGAATTCCGGGGAAGGTGCACGTTGTGATTGGGAGGTGAGCGAGCCTGGCTCATCCGTGACAGTGTGAGAGGATTGGGTCCAGAGGGCATGTTTTAGGATGGCTGGAGAGGAGAAGTTTGGACACTTCTGCCTCAGTGAGGGGACAGAAGGAGAAGATGGGAGTTTTAGCAGTGGGTGTGGATGGTTTGAGGTCCTGTGTGGGGGGAGAAGGAGTGGTATTGCCTGCGGTAGCGGTGGAGGGTGCCGTGAGTGCTCGTTTGATAGCGACCACGAGCTCCTGAAACGGATCCGGGGCGCTCATCCTGCTGTATGTTCTTTGAAGGTCTGATCTTCTGTAACAGAACGACTCAGAGAGATGATGGTCGGTGTAAACCGTTTATTAACAGCAGGGAGTGAATGAGCAAACAGATGAGCAAAGCAACGATGGGTTGTAGAGATCGAAAGAGAGATAGTAATAATACTGTCCTGAACCTTGCAGGTTGGGAGATCGGGGACGCTGAGAAGAGGAGAGGAATCCAGGAAGGTAGGAGACGAAAAGTCCGGGAGTCGATGACTAGCGCAAGGGAGAATAGGAATGAGTCCGTTGCTCAATGTGAGATCAGACGCCAGACGCTGATGAGGTGTGCGTTTATATGGAGAGGTGATTAGTGATGATGAGCAGGTGTGTCCAGTTAGAAGTTAGAAGAAGGTGCACGTTGTGATTGGGAGGTGAGCGAGCCTGGCTCATCCGTGACAACCATATAGTAAGTACATGTAGTTAATTAATATTACTCAGTATTTAAATGTGTAATTACACTGTAACAAGGACACCTTAAAATAAAGTGTAACCTATTTTTTTTTACCAATTAAAATTCATTGCAAATACTTCTTTTTCTTTGTGGATTTTATTGTACTTAAGCCTCTGCTTGTGCTCACATCTGACTAGTCTAGTGCAGCTTTGACACTTCCAGTATTAAAGGGGTCATATGATGCTTTTTTAAAGATCATTATTTTGTGTATTTGGTGTAACAGAATATGTTGACATGCTTTAATGTTCAAAAAACATTTTTTTTCAATTACTTTGCATTATTGTAGTTCCTCTATGCC